TGGTGGGGTATCTGAGCTTGGGATTTTATTGGCAAGGTTTTGTCCTATAGTGGAGAAGAAATCATTGAGTCTGTTTGCTGTTTCTGTTGGTGGGAGTTGGGGTTCATCTGATTTTGCTAATTTTATTTCGCTATTTCGTGATATCTTTTTTGTTCCTAGAATTTCTGATAGGGTTTTCCAGGTCTTTTTTATATCACCTCGTAAGTTGGATAATCTGTTCTCATAATACAATTTTTTTGCCCTTCTTATCAGGCTGGTTAGGATTGACGAGTAACGTTTTGTTTGGTCTCTGGTTATGTGACCCATTCTGTACTGTTTTTCATATTGGTGTTTTGTATTTATGGATTTGAGAATGCTGGGTGTTAGCCAGGGACTGTTCAGTCTCTTAGCTGTCATCTGTTTAGTTTTTTTAGGGCAGTGCTTGTTATAGAGGTATTGGGTCTTTTTTAGAAAATTATTAATACATTCGTCAATATCTGTATAGATTTCTAGCTCAGTGTGCCAGTCGATGTTTGCTACTGCTTTTGTGAAGTTATTAATGGCTGCCTCATTGTGAAGTCTGAAGGTGACTTTAGTAGTGTCTTGGGGTAATTTACCAAGAGTTGTTATGAGGAAAGTCGGGTAATGGTCTGTGGTATTATCTGTAATTATGCCTGATTTTAAAGGGGATATGGTGTTGGTCCAGATGTGGTCAAGTAGGGAAATACTAGTCTCTGTAACTCTTGTAGGTTTTGTTACTGTTGGTAGCAACATACAGTTACTCATTGTGTTTGTGAATTCAGTAACGTGTGGGTCCTGGTCTTGCAGGAGATTTATATTGAAGTCACCTGAGAGTAGTAAGTGATCTTTGTTCATACGTGCATCAGTTATCATACTTCCTAGGTTTTGACTAAATTGGCTAATGTTTGACTGTGGAACTCTGTAGATGTTTATCAATGTGAGAGGTCTTTGTAGGTATTTGGATTTGAATTTGGCTATTATATATTCCCCATGTTCATCCCTTGTGCAAGTATTAGTGATACATTCTAGTTGGTCTGAGTAGTATATGGCTGTGCCACCCCCTTGTTGGTCTGGCTACAGTTGTGTATGGCTGTGTAACCAGGAATGGCATAGACATCTGTACTATCAGGCTTTAGCCAGGTTTCAGTTAGTGTAATGATGGATATATTGGCATGTAAGGAATTTAGTAATGCTATGAGGTCATCGTAATGCTTGCTTAAAGATCTGATATTGTAGTTAAAGATAGTTTGTTGTTGTTGCACTGAGAAGTGCCTTTGATTGTTCTGCAGTGTAGTAATTACAGTAACTGTTTGATTCATTTAAGTCATTAAATAAGAGGTTGGTATCAGGATCAATGCTTGTAATCATAAGATTTATAGTGAATCTATAGTTAGAATTAAGTATAAAACAAAGTAAATAGTCTTAAGTTCCAGCACACTTGAGTGTCATGAAGTGCCAGCACTCATGAGTGTCATGAAATGCCAGCACACTTGAGTGTCATGAAGTGCCAGCACATTTGAGTGCCATAAAGTGCCAGTACATTTGAGTGTCAATGCAGCCTGTCCAGATCCCATTGTAATCTTACCTGATACTAGTCGTCTTGTATTCTCCTTATTAGCTTCACATCGTCTGCAAACAGGAACACCTCTGAATCTATTCCTTCCATCATGTCATTCACATATACCAAAAACAGCACCGGACCTAGGACTGACCCTTGTAGAACCCAATTCAACAGTGGCGTCCACTGTGACACCTTGTCACGTACCACCACTAGCTGTTTTCTTCTTGTCAGGTTTCTTCTGATCCATTCCAGCGCTATTTACTGTTTTTAACACCATAGGTAGTTACCCTGTTACGATAGATGTGTTGAAGATTGTTGTTAGTGACACAACTGTGCGTCTGTGCCCTCTCTCAGGACCCATGGAAACATGTCTGAGCCCACCGCCTTGGAGGTATCTAGTTTACCTAACATTTTCTTCATCCCCTCCTCGGCTGTGTGCAGTGTGTCCAGTAATTGCTGGTGTACCCCACCGCCTCGGTTTGCTGGACATCTTTCCACCTCCTCTGTGAACACTTCCCAAAATATTGTGCTGAGCTATTCACATACTTCCTGGCCGCTTGCCCCCCCCCCTCCCATGAGGTGCACACCACTTGTTTTCACACCAAAGGTGCATTTCTACAGTCACTAACCACTCCTTACTGTCGCCGTCAAGAACAAAAGACCTGAGACCGAGACGGCGCCAGGTTTCTTTCTACACTTCCAACACTTCCCTGCCAAGGCAAGGAGTGGAACAAGGAGTGGAACAATTTACACTGGTTGCTTAGGTCAGCCTGTGACCTCACAAGCACAGTTGACCGACATCACACTTATGAGCTCCTCTCCTTCCTTCCTCAACCTAATTACCTGATCCTTGACTGTTGTTTTCTCATTGATGTGGTTCTACAACAACTTTGGATCAGAGTGAGAGAGAGGAGAGAGTGTGTGTACTCACCTAATTGTGGTTGCAGGGATCGAGACTCAGCTCCTGGTCCCTGGTGTGTGTATGTGTGTGTGTGTGTGTGTGTGTGTGTGTGTGTGTGTGTGTACTCTCCTATATGTGATTACAGGGATCGATTCATAGCTCCTGGCCTCATGTGTGTATGTGTGTGCTTGAGCACCAAGAAGAACTGAGTACGTATTAAGCTCTACTGGTACTGAAGAAAGAGGAAATTTTAAACCTTGCTAGGAAGTGCTAGACACGTCCTGCAGCAGCCCGTCCTGCAGCAGCCCGTCCTGCAGCAGCCCGTCCTCTCAACACAGTCAACATGACACTGCTTTGTAAATAGGTAAATGGGTGACTGTTGACGGAGTTTTGAACAGTTCAAATATGAGGAAGTTAAAGAATAAAGAGGTACAATACCGGGACTGGAACAATACGCAAACAGATCAACACAGGAGACAGAAACATTTCGGTCCGACTTAGAAAAGTCCTTATAAGTTCCTTTCTCTTACGTGTGGGTTATTTGTGTGTAGTATATACCTGGAGGTTACCTGGAGGTTATTCCGGGGATCAACGCCCCCGCGGCCCGGTCCATGACCAGGCCTCCCGATGGATCAGGGCCTGATCAACTAGGCTGTTACTGCTGGCCGCACGCAATCCGACGTACGAGCCACAGCCCGGCTGATCCGGCACTGACTTTAGGTATCTGTCCAGCTCTCTCTTGAAGGCAGCCAGTTACATAGTTACATGAGCTGCGTGTAATAATAATAATAATAATAATAATAATAATAATAATAATAATAATAATAATAATAATAATAATAATCTTTTCTACCAGTACATGTACAAGGTATACAGTCCTAGCTGACATCAATGACATACTACTATATAGAAAGTCACTTGTTATACAGAGCATATCGAGCAAATTAGGTTAATTTTGTTACCAGGATGCGACCCACACCAGTCCACTAACACCCAGGTACCACTTTACTGCTGGGTGACTGTGTACTGAGCGGTGCGGATTGTGACGTGCTGAAGAGAATACCAAGTTAATACAGCTCAATAAGGCAGAAATGCTCCTGAATATGTGAATTGAAATCACAAACAATGGGGCCACGCGTAGTGCATGGATAATAAGACACAACATTGTATCATATTCTGAAACTGTGTTTGAGAGAGAGCCCTCATAACAGTGTGGGTTTAGTGCTTGTTGGACTGACATCTTTAAAAGGCGTAATCATGTGATCACATAGCTCCCTGAGATATCCTTCCTCACTTTGCGCAAATTATATCTGAAAATGGTAATAGTCTGTGTTGGAAACTCTAATTGGCTACCAGCACAGACCGGGCTATGTGTTTGTGTGCGTGTGTGCCTCTCTGCGCGTGTGTGCCTCTCTGTGCGTGTGTGCCTCTCTGTGCGTGTGTGCCTCTCTGCGCGTGTGTGCCTCTCTGTGCGTGTGTGCCTCTGTGTGTGTGTGTGCCTCTCTGTGCGTGTGTGCCTCTCTGTGTGTGTGTGCATCTCTGTGTGTGTGTGCCTCTCTGTGTGTGTGTGCCTCTCTGTGCGTGTGTGCCTCTCTGTGCGTGTGTGCCTCTCTGTGCGTGTGTACCTCTCTGTGCGTGTGTGCCTCTCTGTGCGTGTGTGCCTCTCTGTGCGTGTGTGCTTCTCTGTGCGTGTGTGCCTCTCTGTGCGTGTGTGCCTCTCTGTGCGTGTGTGCCTCTCTGTGCGTGTGTGCCTCTCTGTGCGTGTGTGCCTCTCTGTGCGTGTGTGCCTCTCTGTGCGTGTGTGCCTCTCTGTGCGTGTGTGCCTCTCTGTGCGTGTGTGCCTCTCTGTGCGTGTGTGCCTCTCTGTGCGTGTGTGCCTCTCTGTGCGTGTGTGCCTCTCTGTGCGTGTGTGCCTCTCTGTGCGTGTGTGCCTCTCTGTGCGTGTGTGCCTCTCTGTGCGTGTGTGCCTCTCTGTGCGTGTGTGCCTCTCTGTGCGTGTGTGCCTCTCTGCGCGTGTGTGCTTCTCTGCGCGTGTGTGCCTCTCTGTGCGTGTGTGCCTCTCTGTGCGTGTGTGCCTCTCTGTGCGTGTGTGCCTCTCTGTGCGTGTGTGCCTCTCTGTGCGTGTGTGCCTCTCTGTGCGTGTGTGCCTCTCTGTGCGTGTGTAGCCTCTCTGTGCGTGTGTGCCTTCTGTGCGTGTGTGCCTCTCTGTGCGTGTGTGCCTCTCTGTGCGTGTGTGCTCTCTGTGGTGTGTGCTCTCTGCGCGTGTGTGCCTCTCTGCGCGTGTGTGCCTCTCTGCGCGTGTGTGCCTCTCTGCGCGTGTGTGCCTCTCTGCGCGTGTGTGCCTCTCTGCGCGTGTGTGCCTCTCTGCGCGTGTGTGCCTCTCTGCGCGTGTGTGCCTCTCTGCGCGTGTGTGCCTCTCTGCGCGTGTGTGCCTCTCTGGGTGATGATAAAGATTCAAACCAATGCTTATAGAATTATAGACAATGGTATTTTCCCGTGCCTCTCCCAATATCATTGATACTTGTGTTAACATTGCAGGACAATGCGGGAGGTGAACATGGTGGCTGAGATGGGTGGTCAGGCACCTAACCCTGTCATGCTGAGGCATCAGGGGCGTACCCAGTGCCACCTGCTGAGTGGTGCCAACCCAGGTAAACCACTCGTTATTAACTTCGGATCATCCACTTGTCCCGTCTTCATGGCCAACCTGGAGAAATTCCGCGAGGTGCCTCATGTCTTCCTGCTGCAAGATTAATAGGCCTAGTCTTGTATGACCTGCACCTAGACATAGTAGGTCTAGTCAAGTAAGACCTGCACCCAGCCTTAGTAGGCCTGGTCTAGTATGACCTGCACCCAGCCATAGTAGGTCTAGTCAATTATGACCTGCACCCAACCCTAGTCGGCCTAGTCTAATATGACCTCCACCCAGCCATAATAGGTCTAGTCAAATATGACCTGCACCCAGCCTTAGTGGTCTAGTCTAGTATGACCTGCACCCTGCCTTAGCAGGCCTAGTCTAGTATGACCTGCACCCAGCCTTAGTAGGCCTAGTCTAGTATGACCTGCACCCAGCCTTAGTACGCCTAGTCTAGTATGACCTGCACCCAGCCTTAGTACGCCTAGTCTAGTATGACCTGCACCAACAAAAGTTCATTCTCTCACTCATGGATCCTGTATCAATCATTTAATTTAGGTTCAATATTTTCTACTACTCTAGTCATCTGCATTCCAGATAATGTAACCCTTTTGAGAAATTCGGTAATTCTTCTCCTTCGCCTGTGGAGGGAGCATCTATCTCTTTCCAGTTTACATTTTCTCATCTTTTCCTTAGGGGAAATATGACATGAGCATATTTCAGCAGCCAAAAAGTCTGGAAAAGATCCACTCTTTGGCAGCTGAAGGATGCTCATGGCATTCTACCCCTAAGGAAAAAGAAGAGAAGATGTAAACTATAAAGAGAGAGTTGCTCCCTAGACAGGCGAAGGTGAAGAATCACTGAGCTTCTCAAGGGGCCCAAATTATATGAAATGCAGAAGGAAACACTGACTAGGGAAATTGAAAATATTGAACTTAAATGAGTCATACAGGATCCAGGAGAAATAGACGGTGCAAAATGCAATTAAAGATATTGAAAGAAATCCAGAATATTTCTTTTCATTTGTCAAAAACAAGGTAAAAACACTTCAAGTATTATAGCCTTGCTTAAACAAGATAAGACTTACACAGATGACAACAAAGAAATAAGTGAAATTCTAAAGTCTCAGTATGACACTGTGTTTATCAAACTATTAATCAGACTAAAGATCGTCAATCCGAATGAATTTTTCATGAACGAGCTTCAAAACCCTGTCAATATATACCAATTTTTTGACATAACCCTAACTCCACTGTACTTTGAAAAACCCATTAACAACATGCCCAGGCACTTTGCCCTAGGCCCAGACTCGTGGAACTCCGTGTTTATCAAGAACTGCAAGAGCCCCTTTCATGTGCCTTGAGTATGCTACAGAGAGGGAGCCTAGACACGAGAGTCATCCCACAATCACTTGAAACAACGGATATTGCTCTCTCCCCATAAATGTAGCAGCGAAGCAAAAGCAATAAAGTTAAGAAGCAGGGCTCTGGTAGCCTCTCGCTTCACACGGCGAGGGCCTGGGTTCGATTCCCAGCCAGAGTAGAAACATTGGACGTGTTTCTTTCCACCTGTTGTCTATGTTCCTCATCAGTAAAATGGGTACCTGGGTGTTAGTCGAAATGCGGAGCGTAACAAGGGACTTTCTATATAGTAGTATGTCATTGTTGTCAGCTGGGACTGTATACCTTGTAAATGTACTTGTAGTAAATAAAGATATTATTATTATTATTTATATTACTGTCAACCACTTGCAGTCCCAACAATTACACAACCCAGGGTAGAACGGGTTTACAGCAGATCGTTCCTGCCTCTCACAGCTACCGGACCACTACGACATGGTCTTGGATGCACTGCAGAACAAATAACATGCAGACGTATGCAAAATCCTTTGACAAATGCGATAATGGTGTAATTGTAACAAAATGCGTGATAAAGGAATAATGGGAAGAGTTGGTAAATAAAGTTAGAGGCTGCACCCAGTCATAGTAGGTCTACTCGAGTGTGACCTGTACCCAGTGATGGTAAACCTAGTGTGACCTGTGCCCAGTGATGGTAAACCTAGTGTGACCTGTACCCAGTGATGGTAAACCTAGTGTAACCTGTACCCAGTGTTGGTAAACCAAGTGTGACATGTACCCAGTGATGGTAGACCTAATGTGACCTGTACCCAGTGATGGTAGACCTAATGTGACCTGTACCCAGTGATGGTAGACCTAATGTGACCTGTACCCAGTGATGGTAGACCTAGTGTGCCCTGTACTCAGTGATGGTAGACCTAGTGTGACCTGTATACAGTGATGGTAGACCTAATGTGACCTGTACCCAGTGATGGTAGACCTTGTGTGACCTGTACCCAGAGATGGTAGACCTAATGTGACCTGTACCCAGTGATGATAGACCTAATGTGACCTGTACCCAGTGATGGTAGACCTAGTGTGACCTGTACCCAGTGATGGTAGACCTAATGTGACCTGTACCCAGTGTTGGTAGACCTAATATGACCTGTACCCAGTGATGGTAGACCTAATGTGACGTGTACCCAGTGATGGTAGACCTAGTGTGACCTGTACCCAGTGATGGTAGACCTAGTGTGGCCTGTACACAGTGATGGTAGACCTAGTGTGCCCTGTACCCAGTGATGGTAGACCTAGTGTGACCTGTACCCAGTGATGGTAGACCTAGTGTGGCCTGTACACAGTGATGGTAGACCTAGTGTGACCTGTACCCAGTGATGGTAGACCTAGTGTGGCCTGTATACAGTGATGGTAGACCTAGTGTGATCTGTACCCAGTGATGGTAGACCCAGTGTGACCTGTACCCAGTGATGGTAACCCAAGTGTGACACCTGTACCCAGTGATGGTAGACCTAGTGTGACCTGTACACAGTGATGGTAGACCTAGCGTGACCTGTACCCAGTAATGGTAGACCTAGTGTGACCTGTACCCAGTGACGGTAAACCTAGTGTGACCTGTACTCAGTGATGGTAGACCTAGTGTGACCTGTACCCAGTGATGGTAGACCTAGTGTGACCTGTACCCAGTGATGGTAGACCTAGTGTGACCTGTACTCAGTGTTGGTAAACCAAATGTGACCTGTACCCAGTGTTGGTAAACCAAGTGTGACCTGTACCTAGTGATGGTAGACCTAGTGTGACCTGTACCCAGTGATGGCAAACCTAGTGTGACCTGTACCCAGTGATGGTAAACCAAGTGTGACCTGTGCCCAGTGTTGGTAAATCAAGTATGACCTGAACCCAGTGATGGTAGACCTAGTGTGACCTGTACCCAGTGTTGGTAAACCAAGTGTGACCTGTACCCAGTGATGGTAGACCTAATGTGACCTGTACCCAGTGATGGTAGACCTAGTGTGACCTGTACCCAGTGTTGGTAAACGAAGTGTGACCTGCACCCAGTGTTGGTAAACCAAGTGTGACCTGTACCCAGTGTTGGTAAACCAAGTGTGACCTGTACCCAGTGTTGGTAAACCAAGTGTGACCTGTACCCAGTGATGGTAGACCTAGTGTGACCTGTACCCAGTGATGGTAAACCTAGTGTGACCTGTACCCAGTGATGGTAGACCTAGTGTGACCTGTACCCAGTGATGGTAGACCTAGTGTGACCTGTACCCAGTGATGGTAGACCTAATGTGACCTGTACCCAGTGATGGTAGACCTAGTGTGCCTGTACCCAGTGATGGAAAGACCTAGTGGGGCTCTGTACCCAGTGATGGTAACCTAGTGTGACCTGTACCCAGTGATGGTAGGCCTAGTTTGCACTGTACCCAGTGATGGTAGACCTAGTGTGACCTGTACCCAGTGATGGTAGACCTAATGTGACCTGTACCCAGTGATGGTAGACCTAGTGTGACCTGAAACCCGTGATGGTAGACCAAAGGGGTGGCCTGTACCCTTGATGGTAGACCTAGTGTGGCCTGTACCCAGTGATGGTAGACCTAGTGTGACCTGTACCCAGTGATTTTAGACCTAGTGTGACCTGTACCCAGTGTTGGTAAACCAAGTGTGACCTGTACCCAGTGATGGTAGACCTAGTGTGACCTGTACCCAGTGATGGTAAACCTAGTGTGACCTGTACCCAGTGATGGTAGACCTAGTGTGGCCTGTACCCAGTGATGGTAGACCTAGTGTGACCTGTACCCAGTGATAGTAGACCTAGTGTGACCTGTACCCAGTGATGGTAGACCTAGTGTGACCTGTACCCAGTGATGGTAGACCTAATGTGACCTGTACCCAGTGATGGTAGACCTAGTGTGACCTGTACCCAGTGATGGTAGACCTAGTGTGCTCTGTACCCAGTGATGGTAGACCTAGTGTGACCTGTACCCAGTGATGGTAGGCCTAGTTTGCACTGTACCCAGTGATGGTAGACCTAGTGAGACCTGTACCCAGTGATGGTAGACCTAATGTGACCTGTACCCAGTGATGGTAGACCTGGTGTGACCTGTACCCAGTGATGGTAGACCTAGTGTGGCCTGTACCCATTGATGGTAGACCTAGTGTGGCCTGTACCCAGTGATGGTAGACCTAGTGTGACCTGTACCCAGTGATTTTAGACCTAGTGTGACCTGTACCCAGTGTTGGTAAACCAAGTGTGACCTGTACCCAGTGATGGTAGACCTAGTGTGACCTGTACCCAGTGATGGTAAACCTAGTGTGACCTGTACCCAGTGATGGTAGACCTAGTGTGACCTGTACCCAGTGATGGTAGACCTAGTGTGCCCTGTACCCAGTAAAGTAACCTAGTGTGGCCTGTACCCATGATGGTAGACCTAGTGTGACCTGTGCCCAGTGATGGTAGACCTAGTGTGACCTGTCCCAGTGATGGTAGACCTAGTGGGGACCTGTCCCAGTAAGGGTGGGACCTAGTGTGCCCTGTACCCAGTGATGGTAGACCTAGTGTGACCTGTACCCAGTGATGGTAGCCCTGTGTGACCTGTACCCAGGATGGTAAAACCTGGGTGTGACCTGTACCTAGTGATGGTAGACCTAGTGTGACCTGTACCCAGTGATGGTAGACCTAGTGTGACCTGTACCCAGTGATGGTAGACCTAGTGTGACCTGTACCCAGTGATG